ATTTTACGAGTATTCAATGAAACCAGCAGTCATTCCCATATACCAGTGGTGTTGGTCTTCCTGGAGAGAATAGGCGGAGTACAGCCGGAACAGCGGGTTTGCCATGCGTTTTTGCGCCTTTTGCGATGCCTCGGCAGTTTCATTGACCACGCTTTACTGGCTTGAATCCCGCAAACTCCTATGAGAGCCACAGGAAACCACAAGGGGAGGTGCGGAATCTACCTCTCTACAAGTTAAGATGGAACTTCAGGGAAGTGTCCCCAAGAAAATCCAAAGGAGATTCCTTAAATGGCTTTCACCCTCCCCCCGTTCGTCGTTCGCGGGAAATCGACAGGACGACAGCAAGGACAGCCCCGTCGTGTCCTTCGGTGACCCCTTGCTCTACGGGGGCCTCACTTTCGCCAAGGCGCGCTCCCCGCCACAAGTCTCCGAACAGAAATGATGTTGTTGGGCACCTGGAGTTTCCATGTTGCTTGGGAATTCCGGGGTTTCAGAACTTTTGGCTTTAACTTGATCTTTAGACTTTTGACTTTGGCTTGGGAATTCCTTGATCTTTAGACTTTAACTTTTGGGGAGTTCAAGGGTTTTCCGAATTGAACCTAAGCTTTTGCAGAGGGGTCAACAGCAGACAAGGCATGACCCTTTAAACATGCTTTAAACACGAGGTCACCCAAAAGAAAGGCGGCATGGCCCGGGTCATGGAGACTGCAGGTAGACTAAATATCAAACATTAGGACATGTGCGTCATTGTCTGCCTGGGCCAAGATTTTCACAGGCTGCTAGGTTTACTTTGGGACCATTGAGGTTGCACAAACTTTCAAGACACAGCACAGCGATCGGGTTCGGGCAAAATGGGGGCGTGACCTTTAGTCCTCAACACCGAGGTGCTAGGGTACGCCAGGACCCTGAAAACCCCTCCTTTCTGATCCACAGTCCGATGGCTTTGCGGGAGTTGTTAGCTTTCCTTCCGATTGGTGGACATGAATCTCCACCGAAATCTGATGTCCTACTCCGCCAATGCGTGTATTAAGACAGACCTCACACCCGTAATGTTCACTTTCGGTGCCCGCATGTCAAAAGGAATGGCACCTGTTTTCATGATCGCTGAGCCATCAGGTCTCTTTCACCTTGCGTTTTTTCTAGGTCAGTGCCAGGGTTGCCAGACATCGCTGCCCTTTAGCCGAAAACCCGCATTTTGATGAGCCCCTCAATTTTATGCCTCCCCCCTCGTCCCATGTCACGCAACGCATTACACATTTGACTCCATCCACCCACTCACCCCCCATGCCAATCTGAGTGGACCCCTATCCTGTCCCATCAATCTCAAACAAGCGAATTTTGCTTGCTGGGTTTCGCAACTGAACTCCCAACTGAGCAAGCTGAGTTTGCTTGAACATCTGCCAGCAGAGGCAACCTTGATCCTGGAGATGGGTGTGTCTCTGAATATGGAGCCCCCAAAATGGTTTGTTCCCTTTAAACTTCCCCACTCTGCATGAAACTGGTCAAGATGGAGAGCGCCTCATCTGTCTAACCTCGGGGCAAGCTTGCCCTAGGGCTAGCGCTATGGGGCACATGCCACAAATCCTGTCAACTTTATTCACAGACCGTCCGCTTGCTTTTGTGATTGACCCAAGCCGTGAAGCAAATGAATCTTCGCAATCAAAGCTACTTAGCAAAGGGGGATCGGACCACCCTATCAAGATTCCTTCCAGATGGGTTCTAATTCCTGGCTGCACAAATTGTAACAAGCTCTCCCGAAATAAAATGAGCTGACCCATGAAGGTTCCTTGGTGAGTCGTAATTTCCAGCTTGTGAATGATTTGACCATCCACGACCTCCTCTTTCCGCCCTTTAAGTCCATGGATGTGTCTCTACCAGGTCCTCTTTTGGTGGCTTAAGGGAAAGCAACTCAGTTGCCCAAAGCGGCCTTTGGACCTTTTGGTTTCCCAATTTTGGTCCACGTTTAGTCATGGCTCCAAAAGCAACTAAGACAAACATGTTCAGTTTGGTCCCAGGACAATGACAAACTGATTTTAGCCATGTTCAGTTGGACCCTTTTTTGTTGGGTCCAAAGGGGCAACTGAGACCAAGGCATCACCAGCCAGTTGTCAGGCTCCATTCTAGGGGACACTTGCCCATTCTTTCCAGGGATCCTTCCAGAAAACCATCAGAACCGAAGGGGAAACAGCTGGTTAAAAAAAGAAAGAAGAAAGAACAATGGTTGAAAAGAATGCGGCAGCAACCCCTAGATCCATGTCTTGTTTTCTTCTGGCCAGGAGGTGGAGATCATTTGGGGCATCGGCGCCTCTTGGACCACAGAGATCGGCGCGGCGGGGGCCTACCACCAGCAGCACGGCTTGTACCTCGCCGAGATCTACGGGCGCCTCGGCCGCACGGTGTGCGTTCGGCGCATGGCGGCTGCTGCGTGCCCCGTTGGTTCGGCTTTGAAACCCAAGCCACCTGTAAAAAGCACCCAGAGGCAGCTTCGACAAGACCTTGAAACCCAACCCAACTTTCTTTTAAAGCACCCAGAAACAGCTTCAAAAAGACCACGCCCACGCTTGCGTATGTGTTTGAACAACCAGCTCCGATTCGGAACCCGGTAGGAATGACGCCAACAGCATACTGTTCAAACAAGGGGTTGCCCTGCAGCCGAAGGGAACCCACTTACGGCCCATTCAAAACCCCGTGAGGGGATTTTGGGACGGTCCCCCGGAGTACCATCCCATTTTCAAGCCGTGCTTTGAGGTTGGAATGGATCTGTGAACTCCTGAAAGAATGTGCGACCCGTTCATAAGCCTTGTAGCCTTGTAATCCACGGTGGACTTTCGCTAGGGAAGTGCCCTTGCAAATATGCACATGCTTTGGATGTGGGTATAGTCTGGAAGCAATCCGGATTTGTCATGGTGTTGAATTTGGGGTTTTGTTTGTGTTCAACTCTTCGATTAGGATTTCGGACCACCACAGTCAGCGTTGCCACCTAGAGAAGGATGGCAATTCAACGACTCGTAAGGATGTTGCATGACCCAGCCAATCTAAGGTCCTGAATGTTTGGAAGATTGCTTCATGTTATATATGTACGCAAGTGTTCCACATTCCTTGACTTCAATCGGAAATGCCTGTACAGAGTATATGCTGCCACGCAAGCCTACCACGGAGAGATCGTGTTCTATTTCTATCTCCGGGAGGGGCCTGGTTCCTCATAGAGTGTTGGTGGGAACGTTCTCATTGAACTGCGTGGAACTGCATATCCGAATTCCCATGATATCGCGTGCTGAGGTGTCATGTTTGCTGGTGGCGTATTTTTTGCACGGACAATACAAGCTGTATCGGCCACAAGGCGAAAGCTCCGCCCGCGGACCAAACGTGTCATCCGCTTTTGCTTGCGGATGTTTCGCTGACCGACTTGAACATGTTTGGAGGCTCCGCTCCCCTTGTTTTCCCCCCTTGTCGTTTCAAGCCATCAAATGCACGAATCCAATTGCCGTTCGCAGTGAGGCTGGACCGCTAAAATGGTAAGAACGTCCGCTCAAGTGCACCCGCTCAGCCACTTAAAAGCACGCTTGCTCATGCATCCACTTTGACTCTGACGGCGCCAAGCCGCATGCATTTGCAAGCTCTCAGCGCTAAGGGGCAGTGCAGAACCTGGTCTTAAAAAGCGTTCTGCTGCTTTTGGCCGCAGTTCGAGTAGCCAAACATGACCCAGCCGACGCCTTAGGTTGCTCCAAACCATTGGTGACTATGTCTCCCTCTGAATCCTACTACTTTCTGCTCACGCCGTGCGGCGCCAGTTTGCCGAATCCTCGTTTGAGTGCCGGAAGAAAACAATGGATGACTCCACTCAACCGAAACTGGTTGATGAATCAATGTTTGTCAATTGCATTGCACGGTGTTCGAAGTGAGCAACGCAGTTAAGGCCATTGTCCTTTCACAACTGCCCAATTGGACACATGTCCCCTCCCTCCCCCCCCCAAAAAAAAAAGAAGCAAACAAGACGAAAGTGCAGGACTCCTTTGGGACGCAGACTTCAACCTTCCAGCCTCTGCATCCGTGCAAAACACCCCACACCGAGGAAGACCATCCTCGAGATCACTCCGGCACAGATCTACCTGCCGCTCGGGAAGTGAATGGATCCTCGAAGTTGACCACCTGTGAACCAGCCCTGGTGGCTTTCTGCAGGGAATGCCAAGGTTCATTCACCTCAAATCCCCCCAATGTCGCTCTTGATTCCCTGTCAGGAACCAGCAAGAACCATGCTTGGGCTTTCAGGGAAGTAACGGGAACATAAACATTTAGGGAAAGCAGGTGCCTGGCTGTAACGCTTAAAGTAAAGAGCGCGCTTGGCAAAGCGCACCCTTGTCACTATTTGACCAGCTTTCGTATGTCTGCTGTTCTCGGGGAGATCTGGATTTGTTTACAAAGAGCTTCTTGGGGTCGTAGAATATTTGCGTCACTTGTGCAACTTTCAGACCATCTGCCACTTGTACAGGTCCAGGTTGAGTTCAGTTGTTTTCTCTACGAAACAGGCTTATATAGGCAATCGTCTGAAAGCAAGGATCACAGGAAATAATTCAGAAAAGGTTGCTGGAAACACACGAACATACGTGTTACTAAATCTCAAAACGGCTAGTCTATTTTTCCGCATTGAGACGAAAAGGACATTGGTGCTTTTTTTTTGTAGATGCTTGTCTCCATTGCATACCCTGAAACGGTGCTTTCAGTTCAGTGGAGCCCAAACAGTTGGCTCCCTTCAAACACCATGCAAGAGAGCGTCCTAACGGTAGAATTGGTCGATCAGCTTGCTTGAGCTATTCCAGGGGGCTTGAAGGCAATCTGCATTCGAATTGGGCAAACAACGTAATGGCTTTTCTGAATATTCCGAATTGAGTGGTTTCCCTTCGGCTTCCCTCAGCAACTGAGAAGGCCATCTTCAAGCTTTCTGATTCACAGGAATTCTGATGTGTGTTTTGCCTGCCAGCTTTGTGTATGGTTTTGCAAGTTCCACCGACTGAAGGCCGCATGGTTTCTCCAGAGAATGGCTTCAAGTTTGCATCCGATCCCAAAAGCCGGAAAGCTGGAGCCACCGTTTGGACCATGTGACCCGCTTTCTTTTTGGTTCTGCTCGTGTCCGGCTCCGCCCCGTTTATCGAGCTTCGTGTGTGTGCGTGATTTGTTTTTACACAAGTGGGGGTGTCTGTTTTTGGTGGTACCACTTTTGCGGTTGGGTTCAAGGGGAACCAAAAGGAAGCCACCCATTTTCGGGGGGGGTGTTCCCCCAGGAGACAAACCCAAATGGACTTCCCGGGACCTCTTGGTGTGGCATTTGAGCCGCAAGCACTTGTCATCTACAGAGGGATGACATGGCGTGCCACGTTCTGGCAAAGCCAGTTTGAGTGGAAGCCATCAATTGTGGTTCCTTACTCCAAGATTTGGGGGACAAGTACCTGTTTCACTTGTGTGCGGCTCACGGGTTTGTTTAGGCTGAGGCAGCACAAATTGCAGTGCAGTTAAATCCCGCTTAGCCTGCCACTTGTTTCCCAAGCAAGTTCACCAGTCATTTCGCAAGGCGCGTGCAGCAGTTTTGCCAAACACCTCCCCTTTGTGAGAACCATCTCTCAAGGCTCCTGAAGTTCAACCCGACCGACCCCTGGGACACGCCCCTTGGCGGGGCATCGCAGGGGCCGGTGCCAGAATTTGGAAAGGGACCGCGCCGCCTTTTGAATTGCGGTGTCTTTGGACACGTGCCACGCTGCTCTGCCGTGTGCGCGTCGAGCGCTGTGAATTGCGGTGTCTGCGGTGCTATTTGATTAAATTTCGGCATCACAAGACAGTAATGCGTGGACTTATTCAGCCTTTTATATTCAAAGGCAAGCCAACCAACGGGGGGGGGGGTGCGAAGCAGGATTCCAGCTAAACCTTGCTCCCTCTTCTCAGTACATTGAGCATCGCCCTTCTGGCCAATGTGGATTGAGCTTCCCCCAGTTGGTAGGGCTAATTTGGGCTAATCTTTATAGGAGACATAACAGGCACCCTGCAGACAAAACCAACGATGGGGGTGTACACGGGTCTTTTTGTTTGGAAACTCAGCAGGCACCCACGCTGAGCTGTTGTTTCTTGGCGCTCTCTCTCGCTCTCTCTCTCTCTCTCCATCCGTCTCTCGGGTTGTCCATTCTTTGTTCTCGCGAGACAACAACACAACGGACTCTTGGGGAGAGTCTTCAGAAAGCCTCCTGTTCCGCTCAAGTGTCGTTAATATGGACAACATTTCACCTGCGTCATGGCGAAGAATTTGTGGCGCTTGCCAAAGACAAGTTGTGCCCTCTGAGGATGATTGGGGTGCACGAAAAGGCTTATACCGCTTTGCTGTTTCGATTGCATCGCGAGCTGGAGTAACTGCTGTGTTTATTGACTTTGGATCTACTTTTGTGGTGAAAGAACTTTCTAGCCATCACCCTGATTTAGCGGAATGCATTTCCTTCTCGGCGCACACCGTGCAATTGGTGATTGGTGATTGGTTCCTTGCCCGAAAGCTTCTTTTGCTGATGCCCTAGGGTTTGTACTATTGACGCATACCCAGTTGCCAAAATAAGGACACACACACCCATGTTGTTTGTGTGTGCGTGTGTCGCCAAAAGGTACGGATGTTTAGATTTCCGCCAGCTACAAATGAGAAAGCGCCAACCCGAGGAAGTACAAGAAGTGGAAGATGTACGTCGGCGTGGGCTATGCTGCTTGCTCGCAGCTATGCAGAGAGTGTCAGTCGAAGCCTTCCCTCAAGCAGGGCGGAGCACGTGAGCAATTGCAGAATGCAGAGCAATGTATTGTTGTGTAATATATAATGCCATATACAAATATGTAATTTGGATCAGGGCTTGACATGGTAGGCTTCTGGTAAACCACAAAAAAAACTGAACATGTATGTAGGTGTTCAGTGATGGTCATAAACTTCCACCACGAGATCTCCTTTTGTTAGTTTGCAGGCTAGGGGTAAAACGAGGGAAGGTCCTTCGTCGGGGTATATTGTTTATGTCCGGTTTGGGAATGACTTGCCCAGGCTGTTTCTCTGAATGGTTCCATCTCAGTGGCTGGTTTCCCTTTGGGGTTTCTTTCTGTCCATCTAAGGGGGTCCCTATGTTGAGACATATCCGTTGCTTTACGTGCGGCTGTGGTGCTTGAAGTTTTTAGGTTGGGATGACATTCGTGAATGATCTGTATTCGGACCCAGAGTATTCAACAAATCGTTCGCGTTATCCTGTCACGTGCTAAGTTGCTTGAATAGCCCACTTTTGCTGGCTTAAGCGGTAATTCAAGTTCCAGCTAATTGTTTTGCCACCACGGGCATGTTGTTGACACAAAATCAGACTGCACCTCCCACCTATCAAGAGCTGATTCCAAAAATTGCCCACAGCTTTCGCGCCGGAGCGTCTTCCTAGCTTTTTCTGAATACAGTTGGCGAGTATGCTCCCTGGCCATAGCCATGGTCAGAAGACTGATTCGCATACTTGGCATTAGGGATGATCGTCTACCCGTTAAGACTTGTTTTGGGTGCGTCTTTTTTAGGGGAGCCCCCGCCACTAAATGGTGGTGTTCCTTCTGGGGTTACTTGAAACCCACGAATAGGCTGGTACCCACCACAAAAGACCGGCTTTTCTGCCAACCACAAGGCCTTGTGAGGAAACCACTACCCACATGAAGAGTGGTCTTGTGCCAAAAGAGGTTGAGATTCAACAAGAACCTGGGTGCAATCCAGGGGTACCGTAGATGTTGAGCGCTTGGGATTTGTTATTCCGGTCTGTTCCGGTTTGTTGCCATCTGAAATGGCTGTCCCAACCAGAAACAATGCCCTCCGCAAGATTAGCACGGAATCAGAACTAGTTCCCTCAAAAGGAGCATGGTTTTCCCAGGCTCCTTTTTCAGGCCTTCCGTAGATGCTTGTTGCAGCATTGGATTCTCTGGCTGCCGTGTTCGGGTGATTCGCCGAGTTCGGCGGATTTTAGAACATGTCTAGGCAGCCGGGAAGATCGTGAGGAAATAATGTTTGCCGGGCTCAGGGACATTGCGAAGCACTGCTCAGGCATCCAGGCCACTGCGTGAAAAATGTCTCATGAGATTCATGATTAGGGTACACGACTCGTACCACTTTCGCTGGGTCTGTACAGTTACCAATTCCACGGGCGTTGCTAGGAAATCCCTAAGGCATCCAACCATCTTGGGTTCTCAACTTCACGGATCCTACACCGCACCTAGTGCACTGGTACAAACAAACCCTGGAAGACTAGTCGGTTTGCTCTTCCTTTTTGTTCCGGGGTCGGAACCCAACCCTGGAGTTCAAACCGAAGACGAGCCATCAGGAGCTCGACACCTGGGCCCGGGGCTGAGCTTTTTGGGATGGGAGCTTGTGCCCAATGGGATTTTGTTGGCGTGCCGTGTTTTTTTGGTGAGTTTGGGTGGGTGAGTTGGCTTGTTGGTTGGTGTTTGCTTTTTTGGGGGGTTCCCCCATGAGACGAAGCCACCGCAGTTTCCTTTCAGCTTTGGTTCACGTGTGCTGTGGTAGTCAGAAAGAGGCACACTTAAATAGTTGACACCAAATGAGCGGCACCAACACATTACATGGTTAACCCAAATCAAACTGCCGATTGCATTCTTGTCCAGTTACTTTTGACGCACTCGAATTGTTCGACCGGGTTAGCTCGAAGCTCGAACGAAACTGCCGTTCTACAGCCCCATGGCTGAGAGTTCGACCCTTTGGGAGATGTGGAGCAAAGACCTTTGGAAGGGTCGGTTATGACTAATATACGGCCTGGCCTGGGTTGGTTTTCGTGATGATGTAGGTAGTAAAGTTCGTTTGGATGTGGTGTGTTTACTTCTTGTGTGTGTGTGTGTGTGTGTGTGTTTGTGGGTGTGGGTGCGGGTGCGCGTGCGCGTGCGCGTGCGCGTGCGCGTGCGCGTCTGCGTCTGCGTCTGCGTCTGCGTCTGCGTTTGCGTCTGCGTCTGCGTCTGCGTCTGCGTCTGCGTGTGTGTGTGTGTGTCGTTGAGTCCTTGAGTACTATTTGTGTGTGCTTGTCTTCGTTATGCATATGCGTGTCTTGTGTGTTTCTGTACGTGTCTCTCCAAGCGATTTTGCCGGTTCCAGTTACTTTGTTAGGGTTTGTTGTGCCTACATGTGTGTGGGTGCGCCTGTCTGTCTCTGCCTCTGTCACTTCTTTGTTGGGTCTCAGTTTATTTATTCTTGTTGGTCCAGCGGTCATTGTGTCACGGCTGCTCGGTGGTTGGTGGGTTTGTCGGATCAGTCGGTTGGTCCGGTCACGGTCAGCCAATTGCCGAATCTCAGCTTGCGGTTTTGAGTCCCTCAGTTGGAGCCACCAATGACAGCTGTGCCATCCTGGTTTTCCGCAGCCCCTCTCACCCGAGTTGTACACCTTCAGAGATGAGTACGAGATTGACACGAGCGACCTGAATTTCTGAGCCAATGCAAAGGGGGGCCCGCCTGCCCGCCTTTGCAGGCATGCTCCTGAGCCACGGCCAGGGCTCCCACACCATTTGGCACAGAGTCGGAAGAGAAATCTTTGGGCACCGAGCGATCTCGACCGAATGCATCATGCATCCCAAAGTACTGTAACCCTCACTCCCTAGCTGAGGCCCCTTGGTTCCATGCGGTGAGCAGAATGGCCCTGGTAAGGTTTATGAGCTTTGTCCTATTCACTTCGATTTGTATTGCTAGGTTTCTGGGTTTGCGACGCCCATGCACAGGGAAACCTGATATTTGGCTGGTGAATTGTAATTCAGCCAGGTCTGATCCTCTCGAGTCAACTCAGACTGCTCAGGGTCTACTTCTGGCAGCCAAGTGCGGAGTCTGGTTGCCAGCGCTCATTTTGTTTGAAGTTCTGAAGGTGACTGCATTTTCACCGCCGCAGTCCCACCTGCACAACGAACTTTTCGGCCTACCCGTTTTTGCTCTCGCCTGCCCAGGGGGGGGGGGGTTGCGGCGCATTTGGGAACACATGTGATGAAGCGTGTTGAAGCCATAGTTGTCTATGCTCTCTGTGAGTGAGAGCTGCGTGACGAGGTTTTATGACATGACACGACGGATTGTTGCTCAGCTTGAATGGGAGTGTTGGATCTCTGTTATGTGTTCCTCTGGTTTCCGAGGGGACGATGAGGATGGTGATTGTGATGGTGATGATGAGCATGATGGTCAGGATCATGACCGTGACTATGATACACGTGCGGTGTGCAACTGCTTGCAGTTTGTTGGATCGACCAAGAACAAGGATCTTGGAAAGAATGCCATACCACCTCCCCTTGCAGGCTGGGAGGGTGTCACTCACGCGGCCCGGCACACAGCGCCAAAGTTTGGTGAAGAAGTCGTTTGTTGCGTTTGCTTTGAGTGTCGCCGTTCGAGCCAGGTTTTTTTGAGTTTCCTTGGATGGTACAAAGGGACATATGGGTAACCCTGTCCTTGCAACTCGCCCGCCAAACCTAGTCTGCCAAGTTGACAAGTAGAACGGTGAGCTCCTTTAAAACGCGAATTCAAGTTGACTGGTGGCATGGAGGCTGAGCCAAGTGTCGGCATGTGTCAGCTTGTTTGGGTGGATAGGGCCATTGAACCTTCAGTTAGGGAGTGACCCTGAGGACCCTGATTGAATCGAGATGTCAGAGTAGAGACTTGCTCATCCAGAGTTACAAACCGTGCCTAGTTACGCAGCAGATTCGTGGAAGAAAGCGGTTGTGTATTTGTCTGTGTGTGTGTGCTGTTGGGGTGAAATCTGTGGCAGGCTGATGTTTGTTCCTGAAACGTGGTGTCACAGCTGATCCCGTTTGCAGTGTTTCTTCACCGTCCAGCGATTGTGCCAGCTCAGAAGCGCAGAGAGAATCCAAGCAGCCTTTTGCCGGCGTGGGATGAATCGCATACATTGCCTCAGCCCGGAGGATGCATTTCACGTTCAGATGACTCGAGTTCGAAGCAATCAAATGTTTTGTCGGGGTTACCTGAGCCAGACCATTCGACAGAGAGCTACAGTGACGTAAAGTATGCAACCTGGTGAGGGGTGGTTTCCCATTTGCGCCCTTCAAGAACAAGGACTTCAAATCCCCAAACCACCATGCAATCTCAACCCCCCAACTAAGGGTAGGTATCTGATTAAATTGATGGTTCACCCATCATGACTTCCCTTGTTCCAGGTTCGCGCGCACTGGATTGCCCTCCTGGGGGCATTTTTTGAGGGTGTTCCGGTGTTCTCAGAATCTTGGCGTATTCGAGGTCAGGTTCGCGTTCCCTTGATGTCCGGATCCTCTCGAGTCTCTCGTGTACCAAAGCAGATCGCGGCGCGTCTGAGTTTGAAAGTCTCTTCCGCCCGGCCGTCACGCGGTCGCTCGAGCGAGCTTCCTTCCCTGCGACCGAAGGCCTGCTGGGAAGTGCTTAGCTCGGCCCAGGGAGGATATTATTTGTACATGGGCCCATATATTGGCTGTGCCCACAGCCATATGGGTGGCTCGTTTACCCCAAAAATGGAGGTTGTTTTCCTGTTAATTAGTTGCCCTTCGAAAACCACAAAACAAGGGGTAAGGCTCAGAACAGACACCTGTATGTGGCTCAGGTCTGTTTTACAATAAGGAACTCCCAAAAGAGTAGTTGTTGGACATAGATTGAGATTTGGCGAGATTAGATCAAGAATGGCCTCACTCCTGGAGACAAAGAAGTCCAAACTTCTCATTTAGAATCGTCAATCGTCTCCCGAAAAGGCATGATCAAACAGGGGCTTAGCTGGTGGAGATAGGCAAAACCGGCAAAGTTCCCTTCAAAGACATAGCTTGTAGGAATGCAGACGCATAGACAATCCATTGAATCAGTTGTGGTCTCCTGAGCTATTGGACTATGACCAGCTTCAGCTTTGGGCGCATTTTTGACAATAAATTATTCGGTGGTTCCTTGCCAAAAGGTTTGGACGTCGGTGGTGAATGTTCTTCCTTGGTCTCCCAGAGGACCGAGTGCGGTACTTTTTAAGGAGTTTGGGCTCGCTAAGGCTTGCTTGATCTCTTTCGCTGTTTCGGGCGGACGACTCGATTTCAGCGGTCGGCCCAAAACAGACGCGAGCTCTTCACTCTTGGTTGCATGCATCGGGTTTTGACGTGATGCTTTGCTCCTTTGTGCCCCAGATGCCATTTGGATTTGGGAGGGGTGAGCTAGGTGACAATCTGATGGAGGGACTAGCTTCGGTCTTACTCCAGATTCGCCAATGTGGTATGTGCAGCTTTGCAACACGGTTGAACGGCCATCGCTCAGTGCGCAGTTTGGTTGCAGGAAGCAGTTTCACATAAAGGTGCTCCCATCTACATAGTACAAAACAATGGATGAAGTCTTGTCGTTGGCTTGTTCTTCGGGCAGGGGGGGCCTGCATGCTGGTTGAATCGGCTGAAGTCGTCAGCTACAAGCAGTTATCCTAAAGCAAGGAACGACGCTGTGTTTCATCAAACCTTACTATCGCATAGTGCGTCCTACATCATACCGCCAGACATGCTGTTTTGCGGATTGAATGCATGGAAAGTTGGCAATTTGCACCCAAACAGGAAAGTTGGCAGTGCTGTTCTCTGGTGTTGTCGTTCGACCTGTGGACACATTGGGTTGAACGCTCGAACCTTCGGACATCGGACATCGGTGTCGTTTCGCTAAGGCCTAAACTACGAGGTTGTCGGGTATAGCCAAATCACGACGTGGCAAAGTAACTGTGTACCCTCCCTCCCCCTCCCCCTCCCTCCCCCTTACCCCCCCCCTCTCCCCCTCCCCCCTCCCTCTCCCCCTTCCTCTCCCCCTCCCCCCTCCCCCCTCTTCCCCCCCTCTTCCCCTCCCCCTCCCCCTGTGTCTGTTTTTGACCAATGTTGATCGCCCGCAACCATTTGGCTCAAGGCCCTTCTGTACCATAGCAATACTCATGATTGCGTGACAAAGCAACCTTTGCAGGCCGCTTACAGGATCATACAACAATACAATCCACCAGGGACAATCCATCCTCCAATCATCCATATTGGCATATTGGACTCTCTCCGGAATAGATCCAGGGACCACATAAACGACCTCTACTAGCCCAGGGTACCAGTTCCCTTCTGGGATAGGTAGCCAGTGGGTAGCGGAGCAGGTTTTCCGAGGAAAAATGTCATCCGATGGAGAAGGCTTCATGGAGGCCTATTCAAGTATGGCCAAATCATCCGGCTATACGGAGGAAACACTCAACTTATCGATGACCGCCAAGCAGCCGCCATCGTGCGACGGAAAAGTCAGCTGGTTCAGGTATGAAGAACTCGTGGAGGACTGGGTGACAATCACCACGGTGGAAGCACCCAAGAGAGGACCACTCCTCAAAAGCAGACTCACAGGAGATGCTTACATGTACAAGGCAGTCCTCCAAAATGACCTTTTGCAAGATCCTGATGAAGGAGTCAACTACTTCAAGAACACGCTGAAGAAGTACTTCCTGAAAGGTGCGACCAACGTGTATCTGTACAGGCTCCTCAGTTTCTTCAATCACAGAAGGCAGAACCAAGAGTTCTCATTTTCACATCCAAATTCGAAATCCTTCTCATGAGATTGAAGGCAGCATGGATGGACTTGATGCCCGTCTACACGGCACAGTCCCCATCATTTCGACCGTCCGTACAGGACGCAAACAACAGAACAATTGCTCGACATCAGCAAGCAGCCGGTACTCGAGCACCGCCTCCAGTCCTGCTAAATGAGGATGATCCGACAGTCCTCAGACAGTGTATCACGGGAATGCAGGACAGACAGCGGGACGCATTTCCCTTCGGGGATAATCTCATTGCGCAGTTTTTCATCATTCAGAGTGAATTGTCAGATCAGCAGAGAGAAAGACTGACCAGTGCCCTGTCACTGAGAAACATTTCACTCGAGAACTACTCCTATGAGATGCTGAAGACGCATTACCATGGACTCTTCATCACGACCAGGACATCCATCCAAGATCCATCCATCCGACCTCAAGGAGGCAACCGAAGCAACACATTCTTCATCCTCGAACAAGGTGAATACGAAGGAGAAGAAGGCTTTTGGGTTGAAGATGAAGAAGGACTCGAGTGATTCATGTCAAACAACGATGAAGAGACATTCTGGGTCCTCGAAGAGAACGATGCGTTCATAGCAAGAAAAGTGTTAGGGCGGAATTTCAGATTCAAAAAGAGAAAAGGAAAAGGAAAATCAGGAAACAAAAAGGGCAGTCACCAACGAGGTGGCTTTAAACCCTTTCGAAAAAGCGGTTCTGGCGGGAAGGCCAATATGGCCAATGAAAACTATGATCCCTACGACCAGGCATATTGGGGAAAAGGCAAAGGAAAGAAGGGAAAGAAAGGAAAATCCAAATTCCAATATCCCTATGACGGAAACAAAGATTATTTAATAGATTAGAGGATACTTAACATTCGCGGAGAGGGCGATAAGGGCATTTAAAGATAGCTTATATAAAAGAATTGAAAACGAAAAAAAAAGGAAACATAATATATATGAAATTATATTAATTTAGAATGATGGAATAAAACATTTTTCGTACGGTTTAATACCGCTAGAAATAAGAACACTTAAACACAAAATAGAAATGAATTTAAACTTAGATATAAAAACTAAAAGAAATATAATTTAAATTAAATATTTTAAAAAAATAAAAATTATATATATTAAATAGAAATAATGAAAATCGAAATTAATAATTATATTAATAAAATATTATTTTAAAAAAATATATGGAATATTATAAATTGAATTTACTTAATGATATAATTAATAATATGAAAAAAGAAACAATTGTAAAAATTGGAGGTTTTTATAAAAGGTATTTTAAACAATTATTGAAATCGATATTATAATATTTTTTAATTATAAAAGATTATTGTATGATTATGTTAGAACATTTCTGAAAATTAATATAAAAAAAATATGATATAATTATATATATAATATAAATGATGATTTATTATAGAAAGATAGGTGTTGAT